AGTCCGAGGACCACACGGTCCCACCAGTCGGTGCTCGTCTCCAAAGTCCAGATGGGCCGGTCTATGGTCGGGTGCTGATGCCACGCGGTTGCCAGGACCTCCCTGGTGAGGGAGTCCAAGGCAATCTCTGCGTCCTAGTACATGAATGCCAGGGCACCAGCCTACAGCACGAGCTCCAGGCACCTGTACAGGTCCAACAGGGGCCCGAGCAGGTACATGGCCACCCACGGCTCCATGGCAGACAGAGCAGGGCAGAAAAAAGAAAAAGCTGGGAAAAGCAGTTTGGGGGCCAAAGGGTGGTGTCCCCAAAACTCACAGGACAACCACCGACCCTGCGAAGGGTGACAGTCCCTGGCAGAGGTCACAAGGCATGGGAGCACGAGACCAACGGCTGCCCAGCGAGACCCCTTTAACCACGCGTCTGCACGGAGCTCTTTTTGCGGAAAGCGCGCGCCGCCAATGTAGACGCGCTTTTCCGGAAAACCGCATCGTTATCACGGAAATTCCGCGGCCAATGTAGACGCTCCTTTTCCGGAAAAGCGCATCGTTATCACGGAAACTCTGTGGCCAATGTAGACGCTACTTTTCCGGAAAAGCTGAAAACGGAATAGCATTCCGTTTTAAGCATTTCCGGAAATTCATGCCAGTGTAGACGTAGCTTAAGTGTGGTGGGGCTTTCTTTGCCACACACACCCCACAGCAGCTAAGTGTGGTGGGGCTGTCTCTGTCACAGCCACCCACACAGTATCTAAGTGTGGTGGGGCTCTCTGTGCCAGCCTGCATTTGGGCAGCTAAGTGCAGCGGGCTCCCCTTTGGGAGAGCCCTAGTGTGGTGGGGCCAGGGACAGTGGGGGGGCCCCGCTCTCAGCTCTGGAAAAGCGGGGGCTCCGGCTGTAAGTCTCAAGGCGGCAGAGGAGTGTCTCTCGGCGCCCCCCACCATGTTCCTCTGCGCCCCACACTTGCAGACCTCTGAGTTATACTACAGTCTGGCAGGAGCCTTGTTCCTGGAGGTGACATCGCCACCTACCGGCCTTCGGAGGTCGTTGCAGCCAGGAGGCTGTGATTAGAGATTACACATTGCGCAACAACTGTGTTGATGGCTCCGGGAAGCGAGGGGCGGTGAGAGAGAGCAGGGAGCCAGAGTCTAGCGTGCCTTTTGCAGGCGGTGGGATGGCAAAGCAACAGGGAACATAATCCTCACCGTGTCGTGTATTTAAGGCATGCCCCAAAGAAATCTCGGGGAGGGAGGTTTGCCTATGCGTCTGGAAGGGGGCGGAGGAAGGAATGTCGCTGTTTCTTTTTATTTGGAGTGGTGAAATCCAGTCAGTCCCTGGTGCACCAGCGATTGCAAACTAGTAACAGCCTCTCCAGACCCTACACTCCCTCAGGGCGATCCGGCAGCCTGGGAGTTGTTGGCTTGACTGGAGCACTGTGCTTTTGCAGATGCCCGGGAGACGCTTGTAAAAGGGACCCGTGTCAGCTCCGGGAGCAAGTATTTTATGATTTGCTGCACTTCCTGTTGAGCGCAGCCTCTCGTTTTCAGCAGAGCCACATTGCCTTTGCAACGCCTCCTCCTCAGGGCTGGGGGCTGTCTCCTGGCAGTTCCCGTCCCTGCTTATCATCAGCCCTGCCCGGGATTCCGGCTTGCAGCAGGAAAGGGGAACCACATTGCACTGTTGGCTTGCACCGCCGCCTCCTCCAGGCCTGCGCGAGTCTTTGGCTGCCGCTGGAGCTGCGGCTGGAGGCACCACATTTCAGGGAACGCTTGCACCTGGCACTGCTTCCTGTTTCACAGAGGGGGACGGACCCAGGCGCAGGATCCGGACTCTAGGGATTGCATTTATTTGCAGACAGCGCCGAGCTCAACTTCTGCACCTTCCTCTTCCCTCCCCCCCCCGGGCACGTGTAATGGGGGAGATGTCACTCTGCTGGGCCAAGGGAAGGAAACTTTCTCACCCCCCAGGAGTCTCCGGATATTTCTGAACGGGCAGAAGAGTTCTCCGCTGAACAGCAATTTTAAGGATGTCTCATGATCTTGCTTCTGCAGGAGACAGGGGTCCCTAGCAAATTCTCCCGGCCCTGATTAAAACACCGCAGCTGGAGAAACTCCTCCCTTCCCCTTTGGTTCCCCCACCCCCGTTCTCCCCAGTTCCTGGGGGTGGTGGACAGTGGAGGGTGGGGGGTTGGAGGTGGAAGAGGAGCCTTGCTGGGGAGCCATCCGCAGTTCAGCGGGATGGGAAGCACTGCCATGGACACCAAGAAGAAAGATGCTTCCAGCAGCGGCAGCAAGAAAGGCTCCAGCCAGAAGAGACGCATGTTGCGAGTGCACATCCCAGTAAGTGCCTCTGCGCCCGACCCCTCCCCCGGGAACTGAAGTGACCCCAGGTGGGGTAGCACACGCGCCTCCGGTCATGGAGCAGTAACAGGTCGGGGGAGGGGGGCGTGGTAAAGAAAGAGGTGCACGCGCCTCCCGTCCTTCTGCAGCAGGAGAGGGTCTGGGGGTTCTCTGTGTCGTGGCTGCTTCTCCTGTCACTTAGCAACAGCTGCGGGGGGGCAGGAAAGGAGAAGTGTCCGCTGCCCCCTGGCCAGCCCCTGACTTGCAGCAGCAGCTGGGGAATGCGGAGAAGCGGCTGCTGCTCAGCGCGTACTTGGGGCCTTCGGGTGGCGGGAGAGTCCTGCGTGCGGTGCATCCTGCTCCTGCCAAGAGCAGCAGCAAGCGTGCTTGGGGGGTGTTCCCTGCCATGCAGGCTCTGCCTCTCAGCGAGCTGCCGCAACAGGTTGGGTGGGTGGGGAGGAGCGTCCTCTGTGCAGCGCGTGTTTCTCCCTCCTCGTACAATCAGTAATCTGGGGGGAAAGAGGAGGGGGGCCCACTCCTTTGCACATTGTACTGTTGCCTTGTCTTTCTGCTAGCTGTGGGGCAGGAGGAGGGAGACATCCTCAATCAGATTCTCGTGTGTCTGCCTCTCAGATAAGTCCTGGGCCCTTCAGAACCGAGTGCGACCAGGCCTGGGTCAGTGTGCTGCCAGCCTTCACACCTGGGGCCAAAAGGATCCCACATGCAGCTGTGACTATGCCTCACATCAGTGAGTGAGATGGGCTGGTGGTTTGAGAGCTCTGCCCTTTGCTGAGGAGGCTGCTGCTGCAAATTGGGCTGGCATGCGGCTTCAACTGCTAAGAAGTTGTCTGTCATGTATAAGTAGTATGTGACCACAGATATACCCGGTCTTTACTATAAACCTGTGTAGCGTTTTAATTTTGATTTCAAATATTAGCTGTAATAACATTTTGTAAGAGGATAAACTGCTTTGAGGTGCACTGCGCATGGGTGTGTGTGCGTGACCTGTGTGAGCATGTGCGGGCAACAGACAAGTAGCAACAACTTGGGGAGAGGTGTACCTGTGTGTGGCAGCACCCTACCTGTCCTGGCAGAGGGAACACACTATTCCTGCTTGAGCTGTTTGTGGGGTTGTAGCCATGCTGGTCCCAGGACATTAGCAAGATTGGGTGGATGAAGTAATAACTTTTGTTGGGTCAACTTAATTTGGGGGAGAGACAAGCTTTAAAGCCACACACAGCTCTTCCTCCTGTTTAGCTGAAATTGGTCCAATAAAAGATAACTTCAGTCCCTTGTCTCTCTGAGAAGAGGAGGTACAGTTGGGTACTAGGGAGGGAGTACTGTACCCCTTCACCTCTGTTTTTCTCTCATGCACTAACCAAAGCCAGCCCAGTTAGTCCAGAAAATGGAGGAAGTTCAGCACAGCTTAGATGAATAGTAAGATGTATGATTTAGACACTAAATGGTGAAGTGCGTGGAGTAATGGGGGATACCAAAAATACCCAATATCTTTGATGACCAGTTGGAGATTAGATATCAACTCTTAAGCAATGTACCATAATGTGGAAGTATGTGTATGGGGCCTACCATCATTGGCCCACTACCTGACATATTAGACTTTTCCCACCAATCACCCTAAAACCCACCCACACAACCTTGCAGTGTGTGACTTGGTAAAGGGAGAGGATAGCATGCTCTCCCCTATCTTTGGCCATGTGATTTGTTTGGCACTGTTCTAACAGGATTTGATATTTCATGTGCAATGCTGTAGCATTGGAGGGCATTTTAACTAAAGGTGAGCTCAAAGCAGTGTACAGGGCCTGACTGAACGCGCCCAAACATTGGCACTTGTAAACATATCTCTGCAGGGAGACCGAATTGGAGCTTCTAATCTGAAATTCTAAATTCGGAACTGCATTTCTCAGAGGTTGCTAGGTCAGAATCCTTTCAGATGTTTATCAAAGCAATATATTATAGTGGCTACTGCTATAGCAAACTACCCACATTTAACTGGCCAAATAGTCGCATTGTTCAAGTCAACTAGCCACACTCAACCGGCCCAATAGCCACATGTGGCTAGTGGCTAGCTAGCATGTTGGACACCACGGTCCTATTTCACAATGTCTAAACTCCTTCAATTTCACATTGGGATGGAACTGAGACTTTCTGAAAATTGAGAGGTTGATTCCCTCTCTGCCCTCCCCCCACCATGGCCTTTTACAATTTTTGTGTGTGTTAGTCACAGATTCAATAGTTTGGTGGCTAGAGCCCTGACTTGAGAGGTGGGAGGCTGCATACAAGTCCCTGCTTTAGTGACTATTTATACCAGGAGGAAAAGCTCCCACAGGTGAGATTGAGTGCCTCATCCCAAAATAGCAAGGTGGTCAGGGAACTCACTGTTTCAGGGCACTTCAAATCAGAGCAGGGACTTGAACTTCATCTTACACTATGTAAATGCCTTAACCACTGGCTTATGAGCTGTTTTGAGCAGGAGTCAGTTGCTCACTCTTACCTGACATTTTATTCTGGACTTAAAACTTTGCCAAAATCAACTGTTTCCTGCAAAAAAGTTAGTTTTGATGAATCATTTCCAACATAACACCCTTTTACCAAATTCCTTTCCAATCCCGTTTCCTGTCTATAGAAAACTCTGGCTAGTAGCAGCTAATTCAGAGAAAGGTACAAGGAACTTTGTTGTAGAAAGGCAGCATAGAATAACTTGCTCTGAAGTTTATTTATCCTTGTTGTGCAATAGTTAGAAGTTGTTTTATTTTCTGAAGCTGGAGAGTTTACCCCTTTCAAAACTTAATTGATCGTTTTTAAATCCTTACCCTTAACTTGGTATTTTCTTGTTATAAATCTCCATTCTTTTTTGGAATCCACCGTTCTTGGCATTAGTGCCTCTAGCAGTGTATTCGGGTACGTCTACACAGCAACATTATTTTAAAATAAGTAGCATTTGTGACCGCACGTTGGGGGTCCCCCATCTCCTGCACCCCGAAATGGCACAAACAGACTGCACCAGCCGGTGGAATAGAGAAAGTTTATTGCCTCTCCAGGATACAGCACAGCACAGATGTCATCTGGTCACAGAGCTGGGCTAGGATGCCTCAGGCCCCCTTGAGATGGGGGAGACTGGGCCCCTAAACTCCAGCCCCTTTCCCTAGGCTGTCTCCTCCATGCTCCCAGACAGCAACTAACCAACACTCTTCCAGCCCTGCCCCCCCAGCCAGGGCAGCATTCCACCTTCCTTTGTTCCTCTCCATGGGGGGTGTTTGGCCATACTGGTTGAGAGATCCCTTTGCATAGTGACTCATCCTGTTTTGCTGGGTCATGGTCCCCACAGCAGCCAGTGGGGGTTACCCCAGAGCCAGCAGCATAGAAACCAGCCAGGTACCCCCACTACGTCACAGCGTTATTTCAAAATAATGTTGAAATACTGTCAATACTTCTTACTCTGACTCCTGTAACCCTCAATGTACAAGGAGTAAGGGAAGTTGGAGGAAGAGTGCTCTATTTTGAAATAAGTGCTGTGTAGACGCTCCCAATTTCGAAATAAAGTATTTTGAAATAAACTAACCAATTTGCGTAGCTTATTTCAAGTTAAGCCCTGCTGTGTAGATACACCCTTTCAGACTCCCTGCTCCCACTGCTAAGATTTTGCTGCAACTGTCCAATGGCAGGAGTCAGGGTGAGGATATTACCCCCCCAGGCCAATAGGAAACCATTGACTAATTTTATTTCTATGTGCTTTTTTTTTGTGGAGGAAGGAGTTTGTCATGGAAAAACAAAAGCAACTATGTAGGGCCCACTGAATGTGTGGTATAAAGCAAAGGAGAAATGCACAGCTTTTTAATGGGTAGAATTAGTTTCTGTAGAATTCTCTGAAGTAGAAAATGAACCGAGTAGCACAAGTAAAACTTTCAACCCCACAATGTTTTCAGAATTGAACCTCCTTTGTCTTACATGGGTATCTCCAGTGTGTTCATCATGATAGTGTCTAGGTGCCAATCTCTGCTACAACTCGGTAATACAACTGACATAATGTGAGCTCAAAATGCCTTACAAACATTGAACACACCACTAATTATCCTCACTTTTATGCATGGATGAATTGAGGCATGAAGAGATTAAGTGATTTTTTCCAAATCAGAATATCTTTGGCAGAGCCAAGAACAGAATCCAAATGTTTAGGCTTCAAGTCAGAGTGTGTACAAGGGGTTTAGGCAAGCAAAGGCACAGTCTCCCCCCAGTAATAGTTGGGGGCACAGATTTCTTTTGCACAGAGGACTCAAAGGCATTCAAGAGTGAGTTCCTTCTGCAAAGATGGGCAATAATTTGGGAAGGGGAGCCCCTTCACAAATTTCGAAAGTGGCCGCTGGCCAACCCGGAAGTGGCCGCAGGACTTGGGTAGAAGGGGCGAGGCCTCCGGCAGAAGGAGTGGGGTTGAGAACTACCCTGCTGGGTATGGTGACCTTACTTTCTGAACCAGCTGCAGCTAGTCAGAACAGTTTAATTTAAATTATGAAACAGATTAAGCATTTTAACTTTCTTATGTTAGTTTATCAAACTTCATTTTAAATAAGCTAAAATATTATGTCCAACACAAAAGGTTTTAATGTCTTCTTTATTTATGGGAGTGGTGGGGAACCCTTTTTGGGTCTGGGGTCACTGACCCACAAAAAAAAAGATCAGTGGGGGACCACACAAGTGAGAAGCAAAATCTCCTCCAAACTCCCACAATGCTCAGTGATGTGGCCTCAACTGAGACACCTCTGGTGCCCCAGCCTCATGGGATAAGGGCCAGATTTACTTTTCTGGGATTCTGGAGTTAGTGGATTTTATGGACCTCCTTAGGCTCTGGGTTAGGGACAAATATGAGGGGTACAGTATGCGAGACAGAGCTACCAGCAAGTAGGATAGGGATGGGGTACAGGATCTGGAAGGGAGCTGGGGTGCAGAAGCAGGCTGGGAGTAGGGTGTCTGGCCAGGTGGAGGGA